CATTTTTGTACAGAAATGATCAAATATACCTATGTGTACACGTGTGTGAATGGGTGTGTGCGTGCGTGTGCACATGTATACACACAATCGTAAGAGCTTTAGAAAAGGCGGGAAGCATACACTCAGCTAACACAGCACTGGAAAGAGGGAAGGCTGTGAAAGAGGGACAGCTTCATTTAGTAAAGCTAAGGAGGAAATGCTATGTTTTAAAAAAGAAAATGAAAGGAGCAGAATTTATGGTACAAACCTCCATGTAAATGTATTAGAAAGCACCAGATTTTCAGTCCATTTAGATGTGAGCATGTCCATGATGAACTGAGAAATAAAAAAGCAAGTTTTTGTATAATGTGTATAAGCTGGTTGTGTTGAGGCAAAACCCAAACAAATGGTAGCCCTCTGTGTATATCTCCAAGTGGTGTCTACCAGCACGGACACATGTAAGGGACACACGTGGAGAAGGATCCACCAGGCTGCTCAAAGAAGCAGTGAGGGGCAGAAGAAGCTGGAACCAATTTCTTAAAGTCTATTTTTTGGTGATAATTATACTAACCTCAACGTCTTCCAACAAGTGGGCACTTCAAGAATTACACCTCACAGGAAAAAGACTTTAAGAATACACTTACGGCTCTAAATTGATAATGTTACTTCAAAATACAGGTGTAAAGAAAATTTCACTTAGTATTTCCACAACCACGTTGCCAAAGAATAAAAACGTTCAGGGGGCTGGGTGTGGTGGTTCACGCCTGTAATCCCAGCACTTTGGGAGGCCAAGGCAGGTGGATTACCTGAGGTCAGGAGTTCGAGACCAGCCTGGCTAATGTGGCAAAACTCTATCTCTACTAAAATACAAAAATTAGCTGGGCGTGATGGTATGCACCTGTAGTCCCAGCTGCTCAGGTGGCTGAGGCAAGAGAATCACTTGAGCCCGGGAGGCAGAGGTTGCTGTAAACCGAGATCGCATTACTGCACACCAGCCTGGGTGACAGGGCAAGGCTGTCTTAAAAAAAAAAAAACAAAGGAGTAATATGCATCAGCTTTCTTCTCTTCCTCCCTTTCCTCCCAGAAAAGGGAGGAAGAGAGAATGTGAAGGAGGTTATACAACAACTATATGTGTAATGTGCTATTTTATTAATAGCTACAACATAAAATCACATTTGAAGAAATACAGCAAAAATGTTAGTATTTGTAAAATCTAAGTGGTAGGTACATCCATGAATACCATTTAATGGTGTTTTTCCCTTATAGTCAAAATATTCCATAATGAAAATTTTTGTTTAGAAAATCTATATTTTATTAATTTAAAGCACAATGAAACTAGTATCTGACTGTCGCAACTCAAGTAGGTTTGATAATTTCAGGACTTTGTGCTTTAAATATTATGGAATAATACAAAGTAAAATCAAAAGTGGTTTTTTGCCAAAAATGCAAATGCATGCTTGCATTTGATAATACTTTCACAGTGATTATGCTATCTTCTCCCTCTGCTGTATGCTGGTATGTAAAAGAGAGCTGAAATATATTTTCAACAATGAAGAAGGAAGTAAAATATTAAAGGTGACCCTTGGAGATCAGTTTTCATATTACATTTTGTGAAATTCAACAGATGCCTCTGTTTCTCTTAGATAAGGAATATTAATAGGAACATGTCAAGCCTCCACAAATGAATCTTTCCTGAACAGACCTAGAGCATATATGCACAGTTTTTGTAAAACCATTCTGAACATATTGGTATGAAATCCTCCCCTGTCTACAAAATAGCATGCTTTTCCTTCCTATTCCCCCTTTACCCTTCTATTTCCCTACTGGCATTCTAATGCAAAGATGCTTTTGCAAGCTTCTCACACTGTCAGAACAGCAGAGGAGCAGGGCAGTTTGAAGCTGCCGTAGGTGCTGCGTCTCTCAGTGGCCCTGTGTGTTGGAGGTTGGAAGGAATAAGTTAAAGAACAGTTCAAAGGAATCATCAGTAGGCCCCAAATATCCCCAGAATAGCCCACCCTTGAGAGAGTGGGTGCCTGGGAGTCTTGTGCCCACCAGTGATGTGGCTTCTGCATATCCAGATGTCCCACCCCAATCAGGCTATCGGCAGGAGTGAAAGAGCTTGGTCCTTCAGGCCTGATGCTCTTCATCAGGTGAGAGGCTGGCTATTTGCAACAGGTGGGAAGAGCAGATAGAGGGCAGCACAGCATGATGATTGGCAGCACAGAGGCAGAGAGAGACTAATCTGGGTTCCATTGCAATCTTCAATATCAGTTGATACTCTTAGAATAAAAGTCCACCTTTCTAAAGCCACTTCTCTCATAACGTAGCCGAGGTACTACTCTCTCACTGGCTTGGTGTGAGGATTAAATGGCATGATGCCCAGAAAATGCTCTGAACAGAACTAGGAACCAGGTGGGTTCTGGCAAGGTGGCAGCTGTCAACCATGAGCTTTCAGTCTGGAGTGGCTTCAGCGTTCTCCACTACATCCTGCTGAAGCTCCCTCTTGAAGAAATCCTGGTTCTTAAGCCATGCCTGGTTCCCCTCAAGATATCAACTGACCTTGAGCTCTTACTAGACTTCAGGTATCATTCACGTGAAGTTTAGCTTTCTCACTGGCTCCAGGGTTCTAATTCCCAACACAATTCTAAGCCCACATTTATCTTGAATCCCATAAACATTGTACTAAAGGGGTCTCCTTCCTGACACTGTTGAACTGTACATACCTTCATCCCCAGGGTTTTACCAACATGATCAGACAATTAATTAAAGAAGCAAAAGTGGCCGGGCGCTCTGGCTAACACCTGTAATCCTAGTACTTTGGGAGGCTGAGGCAGGTGGATCACGAGGTCAGGAAATCAAGACCATCCTGGCCAACATGGTGAAACGCCGTCTCTACTAAGAATACAAAAATTAGCCAGGCACAGTGGTGCGCACTGGTAGTCCCATCAGCTTGGAAGGCTGAGGCAGAAGACTCTCTTGAACCTGGAAGAACAGAGGTTGCAGTGAGCCGAGATAGCGCCACTGCACCCCAGCCTGGGGACACAGCTAAACTCCATCTCCTAAATAAATAAATAAATAAGAAGCAAAAGTCCCCAAAATATTGTGAGGATATTCTACCTTCTCTATCTCAGTGAGTTCAGGACATTTTTAGTCTCTCACTCGGATGGTCACTTGTTCTATTCATGAGGATTTCTCTGGCAAAGAATTTAATAGTCTTTCCTGTTTTCCACTCATTTATACTTTCGGCAACATCTTACCTGACTTTTGGGTGCCAACCTACACAAGCTACATAAGAAAATATATCACAGTACTTTGAGTATTCTGTCAATTCAAAATTTATGACCCTAAACCACTTCAAGTATGAAACACTTTAATTACTACCTTAAGAAAATGGCTAGGTACACTAGATAAGGTGAACAGTGCAACATTCAAATACACAGGAAATTTCTACTCCCTGATGTGTCTGTGTTTCATTGATTGGTGTTTACTATAATTGCTTTCACTAAAGCATTATAGAAAGCCTTCAGGTAATCAAATAAATATGTATCTCAGTTAAGCATGATGTCATCTTCCACACCATCTCAAGTGAGGCAGAGTTTGTAAATAGAGAGGTCAACAGAAAAAAGGGGTGGAGAGAAGGGAAGGAGGGAGAAAATGGGATTAATGGAAGAGGGAGGAAGATAAGAAAGAGTGCAGAGTGGGGTAAAGGGGAACTAAGTAAATTTCCTGTCTGATACACTCAATTCCTTCCTAAGAGATCATCCTGAAGACCCAATCGTGTTTCTAAAGCCTTTGAAAACAGAAGAATCTTCTCAAATCCCCTGAAGAACAAGGATGGGAACTCCAGGAAACCAACACACACATGACTGAGAGCTTAGAAAACCCCACACCAGGTGCTGGAGGAGCAAAGATAAACAGCTGCCTCCGTGGAGCACCCCTGCACCCCAAGGCTGTTCTGAAATGTTCCGGCTAGCTTCCTTGCACAAGCCCAGCTCTGGAGCCTGAAACTGTTCCATCCACACAAGGAGAATAATTTGCTAATCACATGAAAGTCACTTGATGAAGTCTAACTCATGCACAGGCTCAGCAATCTACTTTTAAACCTCATAAACATGCGTTTTCATCTCTGCAGGTCACTATGAACTGCTACCAAGAGCACTTGTCAACCTATAAATATATAACAAGGAGTAACTGTTTCACTTGAGAGGTTTAAATCTTGACAAACTGACATTTTTTAAAAGCTGAAAATGGTACTCATAAAAATATAGAATAAATATATGTCAAGATTTACTCAACTCAGTAATGAAGAAACCAGCAAGATGATAAGGCTGAGCCAAAGGGAGCTGATGGAGGTGTTTCTAGCCTTTGAAAATTTTAGTATAAAATTGCTAGATTACCTGCAGAGCTGGTTAATGTCCTAAAATCTATAACATGTAGGGTTCTTTTTTCCACTAGACAGATACTGCCAAAAATCTACACATTAACACACAACTTCCCAGTGTCTAGACTCCAGTGAAGAGTAAAAAAACAAAAATTAAACATAAGGAAGTTCTCCTGAATAATAATCCTTGGTCAGGCTTATTTATTCAATAAAACATTCCATTATGACATTGAAAGGATGTACTGCTCTACTTTTTTGCCGTATTTCCAAGTTTTAAATAATTTTTCTTAACCCATTGGCTATAATTCTACACATTTCAAAGAAAGGAGAATGCAGCTATGATTGGGGCCACTTTCCATTACAAGTACAGATATTTTGCCATTGCTTTTCCTCTTTTCACTTAGAAGGCCATCCTTAAATCACATTTCTAAATTTCTTAGAGTAAAACAAATATTTGAATTATTCAGGAAAAAAGTTTTTTTAACCTGCCGCTTAAATGTTCAAAGTGAGTCACTTTAGATGTCTTGAAAAAAAGGGTATTGTTAATACCTGTGAGCATTCTAAGGAAGGGAAGAAGCACACTGAGAAACTAAGACATTTCAAAACCTCACGCTTTTTTACTTTTTCACTTTTCTTCCCACATCAGATGGGTCATGTGCTGACATCATCACAGATTTGAGGGAAGCGCATGTCACACATGAGTGTGAGAACCCAATCATCACGCTTAGAAACCAACAGGAACAGCTCTTGCTTTTGACTTAGCATTTTGGTTGATGAGCACAGTAAAAGTCCACAATTCTCATCTGAAACATTAGAAATTCTACAAATTCTATATTTAATCATT